TTAGGCAAGGTTCCGAAGATACTGGCAGCGTTACTCCTTTGAATGGCTAGACTAATTCTTTGCCCGAGGTAGCTGCCAGCTCTTCGGTCTCCTGTGATGTTGACTAACCTTTTTAAATTAATTATTTAATTACAAGTCAAATATGAAATGATGATATTAATAAATTGCGATGCCCTTGCATGGTTAATGTTTGGTACTAGTATTATGTGCATCACTTTTATAACCACGTGATTGCAATAAACTCTTGAATTTACGTCAAAATCTTAATTTAAACATATCCGCGATTTGCGTAAATATTAGTTGTGTAGTCACTAATTTGGTTTAGTTCTTATCGTACGAACTATAAGAGCTCTCACAAAGCACAATAAAAATAGAAAAAAATATTAAGGCCCTAAAACGAAAAGGTATAGAACAAAGTTTCTACAAAATCCAACCAACACCTTGTCATTATGGGTGTATAGAAACATGTGTTAGCTAAATGAAAAATCTCGAAGAACCTCCTATGCCACTTTATCGCGTACATAATACAGTACCTCAGGGTATTAAATCGTTATGAATACCCTAAGGTAGGAGATAAAATTTCACTTCATAATTTTTAGTGACTGTTTTTGGAGCATGGAGGATCTATTTAAATAAAATTCATTTTATTTCGATGACCAACGCTCGAGTTATTCACAGTTACGAAACAATTTAGCACAAGAGAGGTAGGAAGAGTAGATTTCACGCTCGAATTAGAGTGCCTTAGATTAATTAGAGAGACTTCCACCTCACAGAAGACCACAGTAAAATAACACTAAATTTTAATGTTTTTTTATTGGAGTTTACTCCTTAAGAATCGATTTGCATATATAAGGGGCCCGGTATGAGAAAAATGTAAGGAGTAAAATCTATCGATGTATGACCTCGTTACGTTTTTGGTGCGCATCCTATGTCGCGCAACTTTGACAAACAAAGATGACGGATTGATATTAATATTTCATTTTTAAATCTGAACTGAATTTAGATATTGTTTCTGATAGAGCAATGGGGACAACGAGGTATGGTACAACCATTGATGCGGTATTTTCAAGATTCGTGAACCACGTATCTACGAACGTCCATGTATCTTATTTTAGTTACCATAAACCACTTGTCACTGTAATTAATAATGCAGACAATGTTGATTTAATTAATATTTAAAAAAATGATAATAGTCTGATAATAATAATTACATAATTTAACAACATTCCTAATGATATATTTATGCACATCTGAAATTGACTATTGTAAAAAGTTTAATGTAAAATATTTCGTCGCTTAGTTATAATAAATGTATATGAAATGAATAAATATATATTTATATATGTATATTTTTTTCATTAATTTGTTAATTTACCCTTTCATACAGTATCAATCTTTTTTAAGTTAAATAAACTCTTTTTGCGTCTGGTTAGACTATCGAACTTAAGGAGTAAACTCCAGTCGTGCGTCGGAGCTGACACACACAATTTTTTTTTTGATAGATAGGTCCGTCAAATGACTCCACCCCACCTGATGTTAAGTGAAGGTGAAGTCCAGATGCAAAGATAGCTGATATAGCAGTTCTACCTGCCACACCAACAATCCTCACCCTGCCGGCCTGCATGTTGCTTCTTCACGCCTCTTTTAAAGGATCTCAGGTTGTAAGAGGTAGGGAACTATTATACAACCTATTTTGGTTTATATAGGTACTTAAATGTTTGTTTTTAATCTAAAATTTAAATATATATCAAGTCAGCTGATTTTACATGTCAATTAAAACTCTTGCATCACGCACGTACAAGCTTTTATTTCTACAATTATACAACAGGAACACGTGATCGGGCAGAGCATTCCATTTACGTTGTTGTGTTTCTGCTGGTAATTAGGGTTCCAGCGCTCCGCGAGGTAGTGGATTGGGTTCAGGCAGGCAAGGTTAGGATGGCTGGAGCGATACACCTTCTACCGCATTACGAATCTGAACTGGACTTCACTTAGGTCCACCGAACAACAGGTGGAGTGGAGTAATTTGTTGCGCCCCGTATAAAAAAGCTTAATCAAAATCAAAATCATTTTTGATTTTAATTTATTCAGTCTAGGCTGTTACAAGCACTTCACAAGTGCTTGTCAAGAAGCTACGCCACCGGTTCGCAAAAGTACGTCGGGAGACCTTGCACTGAGAAGAACCTCCAAGAAATTTAGCAAGGGCTGTTTTTTCCCCCTGTTATATACAGAGTCGTCATTTTGAAAAATGACTTCAGAGATACTTCTGAAGTCACCTTCCATTACATCATTTAGAATGAAGATATATAGTTACAATAAATTCTTGATAATAAATTTAAAGTTGGTCAGTGGAAGCTCAATCATAGCTTGGGGAACTTTATTAACCAGAGATGAACCTCTTGATTTTTGGAGTCTGATACATGGAACGGCAAGCCTGTTCCTTAATCTCGTGTTAAAGTTATGGGTTTGACTTTTTTGTTTTAATGTAGTATATAGTAACACAGGTGTTGTGTGAAAATAAAGTAAATCTTTATATGCATGACATGCTTTTAGCCACAACTGCGTCCACTTGGGATTCCCGCTCAAATTTCAGGGTCCTATCTCACTTTCAGAGCTATAAACTATGCCAATGTCAAAAATCGCGTTTTTATTTTGTTTCTTTGTTACAAAAGTAGGGTGAAACGGACCACAAAAACATATTCCATTTATAATATGCAGAAAGAAAGTTGGAATTATAAGAAGACATGCGAGCTAGAGGATTCAGAAGCTCTGTGTAGAAAGAATTTTGAAACCTTTCAATAATATTGGATTAGATAGATGGCGTACCGTTTTTGATCTCATCAAAATATTAGAAGTATATCATAGAGTAAAACGTTTCCATTAAAGAAAATTTTACTACAAAAAATCCACGCGGTTCAGGAAGCAGACGGGACTAGAACCCGCAACCTTAAGATTCAAACATCTAGTAGTGAAAATAATAATAATAATAATAATCTTTATTTCTGAACCATTACTAATACTAATACAGTTATTAGCACTAAGTTATAGTAGTTTTTTGTCCCTCGATGAACAATGTATGTGACTACGAATAATTAGTTTTTTTATATCTTAACATTTTATCATTTTTTTATGAGGTAAAAACATGTTAAAAAAATGAAAAATGAAAAGCTTTTATAATACGTATAAATATATATTAAACGTGATATTTAATAAAAAATAAGTTACTGATGAAATTATGTACAGCATTTTATTATTATTTTATATTTATGGACGGGGCCAGATGGTGTGAAAAATGCGAGACTATCAACAATATTCATATTGCAAATATCTATTCCAGTATCTTTATAACAATAATATTTTTTTTTCCAACATAATATTTTTACAATAGAAAAGTTTTATAACAGCAAAATAATGCGTATTCTTGTACGCTGTTTATATGCTACGCCGACTACGTGAAACTTAGGCACAATATAAATAAATAGGTATCGGATGCTACGTGCGCTACGAGCGTAGTAATCTACAATGTGGCAGTATGACTACGAGCGCTACGTAAAAGAGGGCAGCACAGCTATTCTGTGAAATTTTCACAATTAAGATTAATATAGGAAACGCGCGGATCCACATCTGATCCGCACTTGAAAATTTTTACAGAATAAGCTCTCTGTAAAATAAAATCTCACTTCCGAGTTCGTAATAATAATATTAAGATTTTATAACGGTACACTAGAAGCTGGAAGCTGTCCTAATAATAAAATGTATCATTGTTATTGTTAAAATAAGCGTTCCAGGTTCATTACAATAAATGTTAAAATAAATACATATATATTTTTTAATTTCCTTTATAGGCTAATTAAATTATAAAAACATAGAACATGTACTGGTCTATGTTTTTATTCCTACGGTTTTAATCCAATATCCTTAAAATATCTGAAATACTCGATTCCTATTGTATGGTAAACCTGCACAACAAACACTACCTGAATTTTGTATAATGTCTTTTACGTTCATAACAGTATAATAGCCTATTTTGTTTTAGCTATCTGCTTTTTTAATGATAGCTTGGTTGTTCAGTTGATTTGAGGAGCTCGATGGCGCAAGTGGTTAGCGCGTTCGGCCGCGATCGTTGAATTTAAGCAACTTTCGCAGTGGTCGGTCATTGGATGGGTGACCAAAAATCTTCTATCTCGAGTTCCTCCTTGCTTCGGAAGTCTCGTTAAGCCGTTGGTCCCGGCTGCTTCTGCAGTCGTTAGCACCCGCCAATCCGCATTGGGCCCGCGTGGTGGGTCATGGCCCTATCTCCCTATTCCATCCATAGGGAAGGCCTGTGCCCCAGCAGTGGGGACATTAATAGGCTGATGATGATGAGGTAGTTCAATTTAAAGAAATACTGCTACCAGTTAAGTAACCATTGATAAATTATTATGCATATTAATAAACATGTCCTCAACAGTTTGACAGCACATTTCCCAGTTTAAAACCTGTCAACACCATTTCCCATAAGGTTTACGAGTAACCTTTGATATATTTTTGATATTGTCAGAAGCACAGGATTTGTTTTGATTCCTTTTATGATTAGCATTGTTTGCTATTCTTACTTCAAACAAATTCATGTCGCACAAAAGTAAACTCATTTCCTTTTGTTTCAGGCGTCTCCTGTAGCTGCATATCACCAGGAACAGGTTGGATATAGGAGCTGAGGATTAATCGATACGCACCGAGGAACGCGCCAGCCGGTTGATTGTTCGCAATGAACGATACAGAGTTGAATTTAACAATTTTCTCTAATTTATCTGAAAAATACCGTAACGGGTCGCCGGAGAGTCTGCCCACGCCACAGCCCGGCTATGAAAATATCATTGACAACAAAATAGTCCAGGCCCTGTTCTGCGTTATCTATACCATTATTTTCGTTTTAGGGTTGGGTGGGAACCTCCTAGTTTGCTATGTCGTGATCAGGAATAAAGCGATGCAAACAGTAACAAATTTATTCATCAGTAACTTAGCGTTATCGGACATTTTGCTTTGCATTTTCGCAGTTCCTTTTACACCTTTGTACTCTTTCCGAGGCTCATGGAGCTGGGGATCGCTTTTGTGTCACATAATGCCTTTCGCACAAGGGTGCAGCGTATACATATCCACATTGACTCTAATGTCTATTGCTATTGATAGGTTCTTTGTAATCATTTACCCCTTTAGGCCGAGGATGAAAATTGAGACTTGCATCACGGTCATCATAATGATATGGACCTTCTCTGTGACCGTTACCATGCCATATGCTATTTTTATGACGTACTACGACTTGGACATTGGCAGATTCTGCGAAGAGACATGGCCCACGGAGGAGTTGAGGCAAATATTCGGATCCGTCACGTCGTTTTTGCAATTCGGGCTACCGTTTATCGTAATTGCTTTCTGCTACACGTGTGTCAGCTTCAAATTGAATGACAGGGCGAAAGCAAAGGCCGCCAGCAAAAACTCGCGAAAAGAGGAGTTAGATAAAAATCGAAAACGGCGCACGAATCAAATGCTGATCGCTATGGTGCTCATTTTTGGTATTTCCTGGTTGCCTTTGAACGTGATCAACCTCTGCAACGATTATTACGTGTACGCTATTCATCTGAGGTACTACTTTGTGATATTCTTCACGGGGCACGTGATCGCTATGTCTTCGACGTGTTACAACCCCTTCCTTTACGCATGGATGAACGAAAACTTCAGGAAGGAGTTCAAGCAACTGATTCCGTGTATCGATAACACTTCTCAGTTGAGGGGTAACATTCAGCTGGAACAGCTAGGAGTGGGGCAATCGGAGAAGACTTTCAATGGTAATACGACCACTGATAGCTACTTGTCCAGCTCCCAAAGGGCTACTTCGTTCAGGCTCAAGAGGAAGCCGAGTGCCGCAGCCGATGTGGAGAAGAGTGGTGTGGAGCTGAATGAGGACTTGCTGACTGTGGACGTGAAGCATTGCCATATCTCCACCAGCTACAACTTGAGGAGGGAATCGGTCAAACTGAGGCTGATCAACGAGGAGTCATTCGACGGGACACCGACGCAAAGTCAATTCTAACAGTTGATTTCATGGGTGAGTTAATTAGCAAATTATTTTTAGTGACCAGTTTTTTAAACTCTGTTTAAAAATTTTACTGCTTCAGTTTTAAGAGCACCTGAAGAAAATTTTTACTTGGAAAAATAATTCAACTTCACAATACCTAATGTGAAATATATATATATGTATATGTTTATTTTGAAAGAAGAGGTGTTTATTGGTAAAGATAGCTGTATGAATCCTTTAGTTGTTTATTATGTTGGCTACACACTTGTGCCGTGAAATGCCGTGCAATAATGGCGTAAGTTTACATCAGTGGTAATTACATGGATTGCCTGGAAGAGATTGCTATTAAGCAATAAGGCCGCCCATTGTGTAATGTCTCTCTGTCAGTGTAATCTTACTGTTATGTCCTTTGTGGTGTTATATAATAAAGAATATTATTTTTATTATTATTATTACTCCTTAAATCGATCTGTTACGCGGGTAAGCGCGAAAGAGTACTTTAATTACACTTGGACTTTATTTCTTTAACATAGAAATATATAGGTTTATAGGTAAAGACGTTAAAACGACCTGTAGGCAACCGCACTGAATGGAGGATGGACACGGACTGACGGATACTAACTGAGTAGACTTGGGCTTGCGTTCCAAAGTGCTAACCAGACATAATAGTCAGTAGGAGCAGCAATATACCTAACATATATCAGACTAGCGGCCCGCCCTCGCTTCGCTTCGGTGTAGAGCTGAAGTGTAAACTATAGTTTTTGTTCTCAGGCTTGTATTATACACAATGACATTCATCTATGATTCTTCTTATACCTTCATGCAAAGTCAGCCCGATCGGTTTAAAATTGACAAAGTTTCATACAAACTTTCATTCCCTATTTTATCCCCTTGGGGGTAGAATTGATCAAAATCCTTTCTTAGCGGATGCCTACGGCATAATATCTACCTGCATGCCAAATTTCAGCCCGATCCGTCCAGTGGTTTGGGATGTGCGTTGATAGATCACTATGTCAGTCAGGCACCTTTGAGTTTTATATATATAGAGAAATAACAGATCGCGCGTGAAGCCGCGGAAACCATCCACATTCACGCTTGTTCACCGAGTTTCACGAGAATAAGTTTGGAGCCGGCATAATAAAGTGTGTACATTGTCAGTTTGGGGTGTTAATTATTTGTTTTATTCTACAGGTGCGGCGCTGGAGACGTTCCCAATTTTGAGATGAACCGTAGGATTTTCCGAGGGTACTCGGTATTTTTGGAGAATGTTTTTTTATACTGACTCAATTCTTTGCTAAATGCACAATTCGACTACTGAACTAAATGACGCTTATATTTATAAACTAACCCTTAGCTGATAATTTACTACGATTCTTATGTCCTTACTGAATTAAATTAATAAAATTGAAATTAAACCGTTACACATTAGGTATCATTGAGAAAATATAATGCACCACTGCCATAGTTGAGCCTTGAAACAGCTGTAAACTTGAGGCGTCCATAATTAACATTAATATAAAATTCCTAAAATATTTGTTATTGTTATTAACTGGCCATTGTTACAAGTTTAGATCACACTACTAAAATTACTACAAGGCTAAGGTAAGCACCTTCTTTTATTAATAACAGAAGAATAAATCTAAAGAAAATATAACTAGAAAAAATTCCACGCGGACCAGGCAGCAGACGGGACTCGAACCCGCACCCTTCGCAATCCGGGCGAATGCACTGACCAATTATGCTACCGCGGCCCTCACGGACCGCGTCGAAATTCTTTCTAGCTATTCTTAAGCTGCAAGGCAGCGCCATCTCTTCGCATTATAGGTAAACCCACAATGTCAAATGAATACTTTTACAAGTATTAAACATTTGAAAGAAGAAATAGCAATTATTGTTATTCCAAGCAAGGCAAGGCAAGGCAGCGCCATCTCTTCGCATTATAGGTACCTATAATGCGAAGAGATGGCGCTGCCTTGCAGCTTAAGAATAGCTAGAAAGAATTTCGACGCGGTCCGTGAGGGCCGCGGTAGCATAATTGGTCAGTGCATTCGCCCGGATTGCGAAGGGTGCGGGTTCGAGTCCCGTCTGCTGCCTGGTCCGCGTGGAATTTTTTCTAGTTATATTTTCTTTAGATTTATACATCAAGCAGTTACATGCTTTAAAAATAATAAAAATTATAACAGAAGAATAGCTTGTACTATTTATGCCGCCGTGTTTTGTTTTGTTTAAATCACTGTGAGATGCACAGAACTAGTTAAAGTTAAATTTTTCAACACATTTACTCAAAAACTGCATTTACGGTGGGTACACTGTTCGAAAGTTCAAAATTATGGGTGGTTACGCTCCCATACATGGGGCCGAGTGTATCCTATACGGTATTTTTTAATTTCGGTTGAACCTCCTTAGAAGCTCTTTTAATCTATACATCTGTCTCACTATAATACTTACACAAAAAGAGACGAAAGATGTCGTTCTAATTTTCACCATCCGCACGTGGCGCCATTTAGAACAGCGTGCCATTTTCTTATTAGGAAAAGTTTGTTTTATTACTTAAATTAGATTTTTTTTCTCACAAATGTGTTGACAAAACATACAGGCCTCGCGGTTATTGTCCCTGTCAAATTATGACCTCATTTTAATACTATCAAATGAAACAACCAATTTTTTTTCACTAACCGCTACTTAATTTTGAAATAACCTAAGTTTGTGCAACTCATGTTTAACTTACTGTGCAATTACGGTATATTTTATGTTTCAAGTAAATAATTTTCAGCTTAAAGTAGGTACGTGCTTATGTCAATTATTTTTATGTAAATTGACAAATTATATTTGTGTTTAGTATTAAACAGATAAGGAAGGCACGATCTCAATAAACATTTATTAATCCGGACGCCTCATGTTAACAGTAAAAACAAATTTCTACTTCTCTTGTCTTCTAGTAAGTTCTGATAGAATTATTATTGTTGTCGATAGGAAATTCGTTGAGTAAACTGTTGTAGGTATTTGTCAAAATTATTACGAGTAGGTTTTTAAAAAACTGAATTATTATGTGCTCTGTAGCAGGCACATTTTTGATTTGAAGTTTTAAAAGTGGATTTATGGAGCTGGTTCACTCTTTCGTGAGATTTGACTTAGCTTCTGGGTAATTTATCTAAACATGAAGCAATATGTGATATATGCGTTGTTCTTAAATATCTATAGAAACTTTTTTTGTGTTATTTTACTGATGTTCAAAAACATCATAATAAAGACCCAGTGTTAAAATAACAAAATATTCTATATGATATAGTTATTTAGGGGAATAACATTTTCAATTTCGACCTGGATCATCGACTTTGGAAGACAGAAAACAATAAAATATATTTCCGTGACAAACCACATTCGTAAAAAGTTACAAGAGTCAAAGTTCATAAAAAGAATCAACCAGTTCTACGTATAACAGATAACTCGATTCTTATGAATGTTCTTCTATAATAGTACCTATTTCTTTTTTATTCTATTATTCTTATCTTAATAAACTACACGATTATAATCGAAGAAGTACTTATGAATCATAAGTTTAGAATGTAATTAACTTATAATATACCTAAGAAGTTTATTGTATTTCGATGTATATAAAACACACTTCTTCTCGGTGCGTAGGTAATGGTTAAATTGAAGTTAGTCAATCAAAATAAACAGGGAATCAATAGGATTGTAAGGTATTGCGGAGAAAGTTTTTTACTTAAAGCGTAGGCTTAGAAATGGGCTGAAAAAAGTATTTATACAATGGTGTGTGTTCATACTGACCGTAACCGATTTTAGGTCAAACTAGTTTGCTATTGAGTAGATTAATAAGTTTAATACATTACTCCGAGCCTGCAGTAAACATTATACTCTCAAAAAATCTAAATTAAAGTTAATAGTAACCAGTTTGACCTGCAATCAGGTTTGGTGGATTACAAGAGGGTATTTCTATTAAGATTCATTTATTTTAAACTTCTAAAGCACTGCAAATAATTAATCAAATGTTTTTTAACTTTGTTTAGATAAACTAATAGAAGTAAACTATTTTTAGTGGATAGGAGAAGATGAAGATTCTGAATATTAGGCGAATTTTATATCTAAACCATCTGACTAAAAACATGATAAATTTTCTAACAGAATCAGTTTATTGAATCTATTTAAGAATTTGTTTAATATTGCAATAGGGGTGATGACGGGGTTCAGTAAACGAAATTCTAGTTAGTATGTCAGTTTGATGGTCAAAAAATAATGGACACGTATTTTTTCTTTGGGCAATCAACCAAAAAATGACAAAGTTATAGCGCGTCAAAGTTTGGGACTAGGGCCTCGTGACGTCACTTTTTAGTGAAAATTGTACCAAAACGTGACGTCATGCGACTTTTCAAATCAATATATCTCTGCAATGTTTACATTATGTGAAAAAAGAAAAAATACTTGTCCAATACTTTTTCATAATCTACCTGATAAACGAAGAAAAAAAAATTAGTCATCATCCCTATTATGGAATAATATTAAGATCTCTACACCTTTTAGTAAAATTTCAGCAAAATTCAGATATTGTTTAGTTACTCTGACACTTTCGAAATACTTCACAGTTTATGAATTAATTCTAAAGTCCCACCATTTCTTCATGGTGGATGATTACTAACATTTTATGAGCTCAAAGGCATGAGCTGATCAAAAGCGAATGGCAAGTGTAGTGTTGCGAAGCGTAAATAGTAAGTACCTACCTGCTAGTCCCGAATTGAAATACAAGAAATGAACCGCAGCCGCATCAAAGGAACTGGGAGTTAAAATAATTATTTGTGTTTACTTTGTTTGAGTTGAGGTTTGCTCACTCATGCTCGATGGTGTTTGTGTGTATAGTCAGTGAATGTGATTTAGCTCCTTTTTCTACACGTTTTTACGTTTTTCTACCGCTGTCAAAACGATTCACTACCTTACCTGTCTTATGAAAATTACAAACCGTCTCTTTTTCTTGCGTAAAACTCTGTCCAGACACGTTTTCC